ATTATATTGTTATCATTAAAGCAAACTTAATATGAAAACTAAACTTAGCACCAGTTGCACCTAAGTAATGTCTAAAGTTAGCAGCTACATGCATAAGATGTGTACTTATTACTTAATAAGAACTTAAGTAGGAAACGGTAAAGTTCCTGAACCGACATTTGATTTACCGACTAAGGTAAGTCACATCTGTGGCCAACAAATGTGTTTGTAAACTGAATTTTAGATACGTAAATGTGAATCCTAACATAAGGTTTGTTGAACTGTACTAACATGTTGTCGTCCCTTTCATTATCCTTAAAAAAACAGAGATAACAACATTTTATTATGCTGAAAAACACATTGGTATATGGCGGGATTTGAACCCAGGACCTGCAGATTGCAATCAAGTGCTTGACCCCTGAGCCACCGACACCGAAATTGTGTTTGCCTTGGTGAAATTAATTATAACACGTTTATATCTATCCTATATTTTTATATAAAATTCTCGTGTCACAATGTTACTCCTCCGAAACTGCTTAACCGATTTTTATTTAAAATATTCAACAGGTATCAGAATCGGCTACTATATATTTTTAAACACGCACCAGCTATAGCTAGTTAATTCAATAAAAAATTAAACCAATTTCAAAAGCAGTCCAGAGCAAACAACGCGAGGACTAACCAAGTTTTTTTTTACAATTCAATACGGTAAATCAGATATGCAATAGAATAAAATAAGTCTGAAGTGAAGTGTATAATATTGGTCAGAAAGTCAGTTACGTACATGCAATAAAATAGGGTACGTAAGAAGGAGGGATCAAGTTGTATGAGCCCTCATATTTATAAATAACATGTCTGCTCAATTGAAGATCACAATCAGTCTTTTCCTTGAATTTATTACCCGACTAAGTCATAAAAAAATGTAACAAAACTTGCGATAAAAATGCAATTACTTTTATAATCAAAATATAACTTTATAAATAAATTAATGAGTAAGTTCTCATGCTGTAATCTCAAACAGGTAAAGATAATAATAATGTATTATAAGTTTTACTAATTCATTTTTAGTCTATGGCAATTATTACTTAACAAAATACTAGACACAACCATGTAGAGCGTCTGTGGCTTAGTGGTCCAGTACTTGACTTGCAATCTGCAAGTCCTGGGCTCGAATCCCGCCATGTACCAATGTGTTTTTCGATTTTCGATTTACATACGTACATTTATCCGACGTTCTTACGGTGAAGGAAAACATCGTGATGCAACCTGCACATGTCTGAGAACAAATTCAAAGAGATGTGTGAAGTCAACCAACCCGCACTTGGCCAGCGTGGTTGACTATGGCCTAATCACCCTTAACTTAGGGTAGGCTCCGAGCCCTTCGGTGGGGACGTATAGTGAGCTGATGATGTTGAACCATGTAGAGAACTCTTTCAGTAACATAAATTGATAAATAAACGGTAACTAAGTAAATTTAAAGATTTGTCAATATTTTACAAGAATATGGTTCTCCAACTCCAAATAATACGCAGACCCATTATTAAAGATTCAGTCAAATATTGAAATGGATTTACTTTGAACATATACATAGAATAACTCCTTGGTAAAGTTGTTCTTTGCTTAAGAAACATCAATTTAACGGTAGCTTGAATACATAAACCGAACACACGTTCATGCATTTCGAATATTCTGGAAAGCGAGCGCTACAAAGAAACTTTGCCAGTACACTGGCAGTCTTCGCGTTTCGTTTGGCACTAGCAAAAGTAAATTATAACGTATTCCATCTTAATAAAACCACTAAAAAGTAAACGGACCGAAAACTATAAAATAACGGTATTAAAATCATCTTAATTAAACGAGCACGTTTTTGAATTGTTGAAGCGTTACTATGCGTTTAAAGTACAAATTAAATTAATTTTATTCTTTCTCTTTAATTATTTATTCTACTAATTGACGTCACTATCTTTACATTTTCAGTTGCCATCACTTATCTTTCAAATAGTTTATGTTGACTTAGAAGTACGCCCCCGTAGGCAAAAGACGTGTGTATGTGGTCTACATAGAGGTATGTACCTTTGGTGCACCTCCATGGTTGCAGCGTTCCTGAAGCTGCGGTCCTTTTAGACACCTCAGCGACACTAGACGCTCTGTCATCCAAGCAAGACATGACATTTAGGTGCCGCAGGCATTGGTTCTCTGTGGTACCACTGTCGCTTTGTCTCAAAATCCTCTCGTCATCATCCAAGGTAGGTCACCTCGGCGGCAAAGCAAGCATTACGCCTTTCAAATGAATATATAATTTTATTAATATTTAGTATTTTTTATTTATTCTTTAAAACGAAATACGAAAGTCTTCGTTTCAGTTTAGTTAGGAAATATCAGTTAGTTGACTCATAAATTATTGAATCGATTGCTGTTATATTATTCAAAAGTAACATCACCCATTATTAATATAATTACTTCCTTTTTTAATTTTGTTTTTATTCAACAACGTAACTAAATATTAATAACAAGACATTGTTTTACGTCGTTTATAACCAAATAATTGATAGGTCAGAACACTGGATGTACAACAGCGGGTCGAGCTATCGATATTTAACTAAGTTTAAGACTACATCGGCGTTAATTAAAACTTGTTTATTATATCAGAGTAATATGCACATAGATTACTTCGCAGTTCAAAAGCTTCGATATTTATAAAATTTTGTAGAGTATTTTACATCTTTTGGACTATGTAATGTGACCTTCGTATCATCTTTACAAAGATATCCATGATATATTGTTTGTTTTAAACCGAAGAAGTAAGGTAAGTATGTTTTTGTACATCTGTTGCGACAGTAGAAACTCGAAAGAAACAATTACAGATCAAAAAAATACACTTAGCATATTTAGTGTACTAATGCAACTGCGGCGCGGCGAAACTTCATAGTGAAAACATGTTTATGTTATTTACGTAATTATATATTACAGATATACAATAAAAACATATTATATGTAGTAAGTATACCTGTAACCAAGATATACATAACACACCAATTACGATCAAAGAGCAATTAACGTCTGTTGCTCGTTACCTAGTTAGTCAGTTATTTCCTAGAAACAACTAGCTCCATCTATCCGCAACTATTGTTATAATTATGACAATAGGAATACAATATTATGCAACTCAAAGATAAACACTTGAATACCAAACTGCAAAGAAGTGGAAAAAATAGACACAAGAAAGATGTGTATTGTGCTTTGGATTTCGCGAGGATTTCTCCAAAAAATTTATTTTACCAGGTTAGTACCAGCTGTTTAATTTTAATTACTGTATTCTACACTAGGGTTTGTTCGCTATTCCGTCTATGCAGGCATAAAAAAACTTAATTAGAAGCCTATAAGTTCTAGGCTATATTCTACACCTATGCCTTTCAACGAGATCCATGCAGATGTTCTGGAGATATCTTCTAACAATGGTACATCCATTCAAATATTCGCATTTATAATATTAGTAAGATTTAAGCAGCATTTAACATTTTAGTAACTCAATAAACGACCATATAGTATATAAATACTGTATCAATCAATTAACATTAATAATTCATTTGGTAATTGAAATCTAAAGTTGTTCGCTCACTAAAAGATTAACGCCGATCGAGCCACTATCGTCTCAATTTGCCTTTTGAATAAATATTTTAACAATTATGGAGCTTTAACGATATCGGAAACTATATTAGTAGATTTATTTAATTTAGCAGAATAATAAGACTAGCTTCATAATCATCTGTTTACCCACTACTGGACTGCCTTCTCCAGTAGCATCCACAGTATGGGATCCTTCACCTTCTTAATTCAACGACATCCCGCTGTCTGCACTAAGACTTAATATGTCTCTACCTTCGGACTTGGAACCTCTTATTTATGGATAAAGCTAAGCTAGGTTAAACTTACTCCAAAATAATTTAGTTAACTTTATTTTTCATTTATTTTTTCGAAAATTGAAAAGAATCGAAATATTTTATTTCCTGCTTATTAAATTGTTTTATAATACTTCTAATAAGATACGATAACCCAGTGAACCTATAAAAATTATATTAAACTATTATTGTATTAGGATGAATTTTGTAAACTAATCCCTAGTAGTTTAGTCTCGTTATAAAATGACGTAATTTTTTTCTCCTATAGCAAGTTTATAATAACAGTAGTAGGTTAATTACACCATAAGACTAATAAAACATTCTACATATTTAAGAATGCCGTCCGATTGGTGTTTATAACATAAATAATTCATCCGGAAGGTTTGGATTTTTTTTTGTGTCGCATCTGGTGTTTAAATTAAAAACTATAAACACAATTTTTTTCATTTTTTATATTCCAGCCAGCACGTATCACGTACTGATTTACACAAAACATTTATTCAAGTGTAATTTTACTGTGAACTAAATAGAAAAATTGCACACATTCTAGAACGCTGTCCGTTAAAAACATTTAAAATTAACCTAAATAGAATTTTTATGGACAACGAAATTAATATTAATATGTAAGTATATTTATAATTTTTGACTATCTAATAAAAATAATTACGACATAAAATTAGATGTAATATAATAAAGGAAAAAAGTTTTAATTTGAATAAGCACAAATAATTACCGACATCTTTTTATGTTACAATCTTTTAACTTCTTCCCTTCTTACCTATTATGAGATTATTTTCGTCTTCCTTTGAAATTTAATTTTTAAAAAAGTACAATTACATGCCTATTGTTAAGAAATTCTATTAATTGAAGGTAGAATATTGTTAATTTGAATATTTTAATAATCAAATAATATTCAAAATTAAATAAATCATTTGAAATTGCAAATAAAATAATAGAAATTCTTAACAGTTGCTGTTTTAAAAATGAAAACATTAATAATAACTTTCTTCTGTAATCCAAATCCACGGCAATAAATTTTAGTTACGGAAATTATAAACGTATTAGAGAAGCAATAAATATAACAACAACATCAAAAAATACAAAAACATTCATATATCATACCCATTATCCTCGGCTTAAACTCATCCGTTATCAAGAAAGCTCTCCCATAGATGTAAATAACACTAAGACGAATTGTTACATTAATCTATTCGACCACTTTGTCACTTTACACCGCATTCGTTGCGTCCGAATGCATAACACAGACCACTTTCTTTCGTATATCGGGAAAGTTTACGTACGGTGTGAGAGACTGCCGCGCGGCACGTTCGTTCGCTGGACGTATGACGCGAGAATGAACTGTTGTACGTAGTTGCTCCCTCCTTTACGCGGCTTTACGCCCCGTCTCGTCATCCCTTTATACTATGATATTACGGAAATGCCGGTGTTTGTTGTTACTGCCTCTAAAGCCTCCAGTAATTATGCTCTACCCCTAGACTGATTGACCGATGGTCCTAAGAATTTAATAGAAGTGCATAAGCTTCTTTATAAAGCTTGAAGGTAGCATGGTATTAAGTTCTGAAGTAATTTCTTGAGCTTTCTTTTAAAAAAAAAACTTTCCATGATATTTTTCAGTAATAATAAAATGTCTCTCGCTAACTTTATAAAGTGGTAGTCAAAAATAAATAAATAAAATGTATATGTCAACGTTTTTAACAGAATCATTTAATTTTTTTACACTTTGATTTTGTTGTTTGAATTTAAATTATTAGTTGAATTTAAGTGAAACATGACAAAATTAATTTCCTAAATGTAAACTTTTTTTTAATACTTTCGATTGTTTTTAATGACTCCAATCACACTGGCTGGAAAGAGAATGTTAATTTCAAAAGCTGTAACTATCGATTGTGAAAATGTAGCGCTGTTAGAACAGAGCATATAATACTGGAAGCAATAGGCTCGCTCTCATTCAGATCCCAGTTCACAATCACCATCTACATAATGGAACATTGCTAATAGTAATGAACCTTTTTTTTTATAAGAGTAAAGGGTATATAAGCGGCAGTAACACCAACATAGTCATCATCATCGTTTAGTCAAGTACTATAATTAAAAAAAAAAACAGACTAACAGACAATCTAGCTACCTGACCGAAAATGTAATTTTAAAGTATATTATCTCTTTTGTCACTGATAATTTTAGGGATGACGATATGTTTAATACAGAGATTTTAATGTCAGAAACCCACGGTGAGTATAATGCGCAGTACAAATTAGCTTGAGATTTTATACTGGGAATTGTTTACTACGTAGGCGAGTGTTTAAGTATTTTTATCATCATCCTTTAAAGGTTAAGATAGGTCTAAGTTTAAATGGAGAAATCTTTTTCTTTCACTTAGCAGAGTACTCAATGGAGGAGTTGGTCGAATACTTGGCGTACTGGTCGGTCTAGTCGAGTACTTGTTTTTATAATACTAATGAGGTATATGATATGTTTTATGGTTGACATACGCGGAATTATTTTTGTAAGGGTTTTATTTTTATAATTTACTAATAGGTGGGTATATTATTGACACGGTAATTTGTTAGTTAATAAAAAAATGTAGGAAATGAAATTTATTCCTGTAACCATATTTTATATGTATTTCAAAATATCTTACTTTGAAAACTATATTTAAGTGACACAATTCGTCAATAGCCTAATGGTTAAGGGTACGGATTTCCGATCACGAGGTCGGGGGTTCGAATGCCGCCATTCGACTATTGTCGTAAACCATATCCTAGTACAAGCTTAGAGCTTATTTGGAATGGTAAAAGAAATATTAGTAAATTTACAAAAAAAACTGCTAGTATTTAAAGAAAAAAAAAAAAAAACCATTTCACCGGTGAATCAGAATATTAAGTCATTCGGCCTTGATCTTTTACAGCATGAACATATTTTACTAGAGCTTTGTTGCTTACTTCTTGGCCTACATTTACTTACAAAGACGGATATCAGACGCAACTAAGATAAGGGTTTAAATCTTTTAGTTTATATAATATCCTAAATATACTTTTTCTATTTTCCTTAACCTATGGTCCAAATTATTTTTTTTTTCTTTGAATTAGTCATAATAAATACAGACAAAACCTTTTAAAGAAATTGTCAACGAAGTTGCTACTAAAAAACTAAACTGTTCTTATTTAAATGCTTTAGTGTGATTACCATACAATTTGGAAATTGAACTAGACAATTCCGGTCACTAATATCTAGTCATTTTCAAGTTAGCAATGGTTTTGAACATAATTACGTAAGTGACGACTAAGGTCAAGTCCTATTTGGTTCCCGGGAGAGCGCGACGGGCAATGGCGACAGAACTACTTTCAAACCAATTACTCAAAACTACTGTTATAAGGAAATTTCGGATACGATTTATAGATAAAGTTGATGCATAAATTGTATATGATTTCTTAAATAGAGAAGAATTTCTGAAATATTAATAGCCCTTCTTTGCCTCTTATAAAGTTCTGATAGTGTTTTATTTGGAGGAGTGTTTCTATTTTTAACTAGTCTTACTTCAAACATAATTATTATTGCGTCAAATGAATCTAGCTTACAATTCCATACAGAAAATACGTAGTAAAAATACTGTAGAATAAGAAACGGGAAGTAAACCGAAAATCCATAAAACCCTCAGTAATCCAACCATTGGATATACGAGCACAACAAATTAATTCCCAGCGCCCCGTAAAAGTGAACGCCTCAGCCCGTTAGTGAAAAGCTCGGAGCTGTAAAACTGGCTGTGAGGGGCTGCGAGCCTCTATCAATAGCCTACTAAAGTAGCCGAGGGAGCACCTATTTAACAACCAATTGGGATAGTTTATTCGTTTCGAATTGATCGGAGTGTCTTTTTAGTATATTTGACATTTAGCTTGTTGAAAATTTCTTCTAAATTTATGATTATTCTAATTAAGTTTACTTTAATATTGAAATTAAGGGCATATAAATAAGAAAATTGCAAAAATTTTTGCAATTATCTTATTACAATATACAGCAAAACCAAAGAGAGTACAAAGGGAGCAGAAACAGGATATGAACTTTTAGGAAGAAAATCCGAAAATGAGCCAGTGTATTGATTCAACACTAGTCTTACTAAAATGTCGACGTTTATGTCCCCTCACTATTCATTTAGACACGGGACTTTGTAATGAAAGCACGTCATCGCGCCAAATGATTCTTACTAATAATGTCTAAAAGTATGAAGTATACACTGATATGCTGGTAGATAGGAAATGTATGAAAATGTGGCATACACGGTGCTGACCCCGAAAGGGATAAAGGGACGTGATAATTATGGGTTTAAAAGGAAAATAATTTAATATAACTAACAGTATTATATTACATTAACGCTTGTTATCCAAATTTCTGTGTACACGTTTTGCAGTTCACGAAAAACATCTACGGAATGTCTTGCCTCAAATATGCAAAGATTCTAACAAAGATATTTTTAAATAGCTTTTTCACAAGAATTTTGCACGCTGATGTTCGACAGCTGTGATTATTTTCTTTGTTAAAATTTGCATGTTTATACGTGGATATTATGAGTAACCAAAGCCAAAAGGTTGTCGACCTCATCGTTTAATATCTTACTATACTATTATGAATGCGAATGTTTGGATGGTTGGACGGAAGGATGTTTGTTTGAAGGTATCTCCAGAACGTCTGTATGGATCTCGATGAAATTTGGCATAGATGTAAAACGTAGTCTGGAAGAACACAAAGGCTAAAGAACAAAAATGTTAATTAAAATTTGTTTTACCGCGCGGACGGAGTTGCGGGCAATAGCTAGTTTTACTAATAACTATTTTTTTTTATAACAGAAGGGGGCAAACGAGCAGCGGGAACATCTAGGTGTTCAACGACGCCTATGGATATCAGCAATACCAGAGGAACCGCAGATGCGTTGCCGGCCTTTAAAATATAGTAGTTCGAGTTCGTTTTTTTCTTATATAATATTCCTAAAGTTACACAACGTTAGTATTCTCACAATGAACATAGTAACGTCATTAAATTTTTATTCATCAAACAAAGGTTGGAAGGTAGAAATGCTGAGAGCGCGGCCTGCATTTGCCCGATGAATCGTTAAATTTATTCTTTGTTCAATGAAAAAGTTACACTTCTTAAAGAATATTTTAGGTTAGAAAACTGAACAAGGTAACGTCGAGTTACTTACCGCAGTATCCAGAATCGTACTTCTTACTAATATTATAATAGTCGAATATTGAGATAGTTGGATGGATGGATGTTTGTTGTTATCTCCGGAACGACTGCTTGGATTTCGCTGAAATTTGGCATAGATGTAGAACATAGTCTGGAATAACACATAGGCTACTTGTTAAATTTGTTTTTAATTCCGCGCTAATGAAGTCGCGGGCGACAGCTAGTCAATGATAAAAGATAATTTTAAGGTAAAAAGTGATTTAGGTACATATGATATACTAATTAACAAATAGATACGTGTTTAGAATAACCTTTTACCCTTAACATTAAAATTCAAACATCTAATGAATCTAACTCAATAAAGCACCTTTTTCCAGTCGACCTCCGATTGTTGTTAACATTACAACTAAAATTGTTGGCGAAGCTTTCGAAATGTTTAGGGTCGTTTGACAGTTTGCTTTCAAGGGACCGAAGTTTATTGGCGGCTTATTTGTATGCCGAGCGTTGTATGCAGACTAAATTGGTGTACAACTTTATTCTATGCCTTTCGCGGAGTAGCTAATCTCGGCAAATTGGACCCTTCGTTTTGTTTCGATGTCCTTATGATAAAAAATTACTAGAAGCACTTTAGAAAACGAGTCTCGTCGCTTCTAACCTTTTGAATAAGCAATAGTTTAGTGACGCAGATAGTTTTATGGAATGGATTTTGATTAATGTTTTGATTTACATTATATTTATTAGAATAACTAATGAAAAGATTAACTTTGATGTGTATGAGACCTGGAAACGAATTTGAAACGCTGTGAATGACCAACATACTAAAGTTATATATGCTTAAATATTAAAGATAATATGAAAAGATTAAGACAGGACTAAGGATTATAGATAGAATTCTAAGTCTTATGTTTGTCACTTCTGTCGTCTTGTTTCTGGGAAACCGCCTTAAAGTTTAATATCTTATAGATGGCCATGTCCGTTTTTCTCGGAATAATCGTCCAAAGGTTTTATTCGCTTAGCTTGTGTTTACAATTTTGTTGCTACGGTAGTCAGTTAGATTTAATGTTAATATTTTTATTGAATTATCCCATTGATTCGCATCTGGGTTGTATAAGTTATCAAAATTAGTACTTCGAGTCG